CGCAGCGCCGCTGCTCCGCTGAAAACAATTAATTAACAAAGGTAAACTTATGTGTAAAATAAAATACAAAATAGAACGTGTCATAATTTAGTAATGCAACTCTCGTACATATTAGGAATTCATGTGAAAAGTAAAGGTAGAGTACAGTGCAGCGAAGTGCAGCAAAGTGCAGTACAGTGCTTGGCTCTCACCGATCAGATTGTGCAAGTTGTCGACGACCACCTCGGAGTTGTAGGCGGCGTCGACGGCGCGCTGCAGGAACGCCGTCCACGCGCTCAGCTCCCCCTCCTGCAACAAGCACGCGCCTTCCGCCTTGCCTCACTCTGCAACTTTACCCTTACCATACACACGCTTAAAAAGATTACACAATACAACATACTCGTACCTATTAGTTTTATTTAAAGCCATTTTCTTACTCTTCATTACTATTAGAATCTAATTTTAAGCAGTAAAGAAGAGTTATTTTAATTAAAATAATGTGGTCTTAAACGTTACATGTCATAAATAACACGAGCGGAGGTGCATATAATGTATATGCACAGTAGGAAACATTGGCCGCTATCGAGGGCAGTCGGCACACGAGATACACCGCGCCGCCGCGCCGCTATCCGAGATAAAACGTGTGCGCGCCAGTGACCTACATCTGTCCAAATCTCTTGAAAAGTACAAATTTAGATAAAGTAATTTACTTAAATATTCTTTGTTAAAACTAGAGAACGAAAGAGAATATTTTAAAAATACCGGCCACACAGCGCCATATACGGCCCCTCGCAGCGTTTCAGTGTAGTACAAAATGACGGTATCGGAAGAATTCAAGTCCTCTCTCATTATTTATAACGAACTTAGAGGCTTCGCCGTCCGCCGCATAGTGGGGAGCTCACGAGTCGTCTGGCAACGCTAAATAAAGTTGAAGCATCAGATTGACTTCACTTCACCACAAGTGTCTATTTAGCGACGGCGACCGCGACCTCGGTCGTCGGTGCTGGGCGGCGCGGGGAGGAGTTGCGGTCGCCTCTCGGGCGCCTGTAAAAATATCCCGCGAGATGTATTGCACGAACATGTAACAAATATAAATATGACTTAATATTAGCGTAACGAAATAAATATAAATAGCCCGATAGCAGCAACCGAGTGGCGGTGGGCGGCGTATGCGGGGCGCGGGACGCGGGACGCGGGACGCGGGAGAGCAGGCAGGCATGGTCTCCCGCTCGCCGCGAACCACTTGGAATTAGCAAATCTTGAGATCGAAACGTTTCCATTGTTTGTTGTACTTTGTTAGACAATAAGATAACCACCAAATGCCTAACCGCCGCTAACGTTAATATTTTACGATGTGATCTAAGTTATAGCTACATCCGTCAGTAATGTAGACCGTATAGACATATCAATTTAACAGCCACAATCACTTCACATCGATTATTAGCACCTACATATGGCGATTCTTTTAGAAATATTAACACAAAGTAGGCATACCTCTTATTTATTTAGAGCGCGAGATATCGCGTATTCATTTTACGACGAATTATTTGATTAATACTACTCGTACATACATTAATTCGGCCAACAAAGATATGTACCCGCGGTATATCGCCGGCTCACACAATGACATATTCAGGAAAGTATGAACGCATCTCCCAACGCGCTCGAGGTCAGTAGGGCAGAGCGGGGCGGGCGCGGGGGCGTCTCCCACGCCCTCGCTACTTTTCGTGCCCTCGAACTTCGCTCCTAGCAAAATGCGGGCCGGCCGCCGGCGGCCGGCGTCACGTCACGGGCGCGTACCTCCGCCGAGACGCCGCCCGTCCCGCTGTTATAAATATAGCTTTGATGGCCACGGCCGGCCGCTGACCGCGGGGTTCGCGCCATCAGGCCACAGCTGCAGCAGAGCTTCCTTACGACGCGCACCTGCAGCGGCGTAGGCTCGCAGTCCTTAATCTGATAATACTTATCAGGCAATTAACTAGTGCCAATTGTCTTGAACGGTTATCGGTTAATTACTCAATTCGCAAGGGCCGGGTCGCCGCCGGATTACAGATAATTTGATATGAATGCAACAGTAAGACAAGACTAGCCGGCGAGAGTTTTAAACTACATCCATTTCATTAAAAAATATGATTGTAAATGTAGCTTATAAAATATTCGTACGGCTTTGAAAATAAGTACAATATCGTGTGTAGATTGACTGAAGAGAGAACATACGAGTATGGGCAAGCGGCTGGCCGGGGACACCGGCCGCTCGCCGCGCCGCGCTGCGCCATTAGTAGCGGCGACTGTCACGACAGTCGTGGGCATTGCTGTCGCGCAAAGCTTCCTTCGGTTCCACATTCGAAGAACCGCTCTTCCGGTCGGTGGAAGTCGTGCTTACCAGTACAAAATAATTTCTTGTAAAGCCATAATATTGACAAGCCGTCAACCTAAGCTAACTTATGGAATTAATTTAATTTTTATTCAGGTAATTAGGTATACCATTTTTTCAAATAAAAGGAAAGTGGAGGGAGATCTCTGCGCAGCGCTCAGCTTAAGTATATTTGCCAAGAAAACAGATATATAACAGTTTTTGTTGGCGTGTTTGTGGTTGCTGTCGCAGTGTGGGTGCGGGCGGCCCTGCGGTCAGCGCGCCGCCGTCCTGCGCTTTCTCTATGATTAACGCGAACAATGCGCGTTAGAAAGCTAAATTTTGCTCATATGTAAATGTGCACAAGATGGCGTGAGCGCACCACTTTGTTACGCTTTTACCGGCAGCTGTGGTTCGTGTCAATGCAGCGGTAACAGTGACTTAATGCAACGCATGCTCTCAATGCCCTGAGTCAATTAGACATTGGTGCGTGGTCACCCCATACGTGAGGCGGACGAGTCAATATCAAAATATCTCGACTACAGTTATCGTGTCAAAACAAGTAATATATCACTGCAAGTGTAGCTGTTTTTTACTTAATACAAATGCGATCGCTGGACGGGGACGGCATTGTTGTAACATGCACTAACGATGTTACTTTGTTGACGATGCTACGATTTCTAATTTGTCTTGTCGACGGCGGGGTGGGCGAGAAGCGCGAGGTGCGCGAGGTGCGCTGGCCGCGCGGGATACACTGACTTATGTTGCTTCGGTCGGGAGGAATACATATTTGCATGGGAGACAATCTCGCTATATTGTCTCGGAATCCTTTAAAATATCATAATTATAAAGCTAGTTTCTGTTATGTAAAATATAAATTGGATATATCTACAAAAGTCAAATTAATATAGAAATAAATTATTTTAGGTGTTGTGTCGGTGCTCGCTCGCCGATTGCTTCAAGTGTAAGATTACGCTCGTGTTCAGCTTCCCGCAGTCGAGAGTTTAAGCTGGAGAGTGGAGAGTAGCGTCTTGAGGCGCCGCGCTCTCCTCAGTCGCGTGGACGGAGCGCGTCGCCTTAAGCATCACCACTCCAACTCTAATCTGTCTAAGTGCCGGCTTTAGAAAAACCGCACTTTTGACAGAATTTACTATATAAAATTATACTATATTATCTATTTCTTATATTATCATTGATACTAAATCATTTTAAATCTATTCGCAATTTTGATAATTTTAACTGTGGTACTGCCCGCAATAACTTGTGCACGACAGGGCCCCGTATTACTAAACCGCACAGAAGACAGGCATCAAGTGGAAGCTATTTCGCATTTCGTCTGACCTGTGAGCGCAATACCTGATTTTAGTCTATTTTCATATTCCGTCATTTTTTAAAGCAAATGATGGAATGAATAATGAAAAAAAAAAATCCTAATGGCTTGAAGTTTAACCTACTTGTACCGTAAGCACGGAGATACGAAACATCGTCGGCTTAAATCATGTCTACCATACATTCGACATTCGGATGCTCCATACATGTAAATGGTCTCCATACAGGGTCTAATTAAAAAAGAAAGATACTAGCGTTAACCCTGTTAAAAAGAAGAGCTCTTTAAATTTTACGTGCCAAAGTCAAAAAAACGCAGGATTCTATTTATCTTACCAGTAACAGTTTACCTGATCAAACCATTTGCATAGAATTGGTTTAAAATTCATTTTAAGTATTCATCGTCGAACAAATAACGACTCAACAGTCATTGTATCAAAATAATTACAAAGCAAAGTCGCAGGACAGGCGCGGTGGCAACTCACGCGGTGAAACTAATCATTTTATTTGGCTTAGTTCAAGCACCCCTCGGCGGCGCGGCGCAGTCGTCGCATACGAACTTTATTTACGTCGCACGGACCGCCACATGTTGTATGCCCGCTGGCAAACACCACACACATCATCTCCTATCGTATTCGAAATGTAAACAACACCATGAAATGATAATTTGCAAATCAAAATTATTATTGTTTTCTTCTAGATAGCTCTTGTGAAACATTAACACAATCTGCAACTTTTTGTGTTCCCTCGGATTCTAAAATTATAAAGTACATTAAAAATAGATATTGATGTCCTATCTAAGACAAAATAATGATTTTTCCATTTTGAAGCGCAGCGGGAGTATAGAAATATTGTTCCAGCAGCGCGGGTCAGGTCGTGTCAGAAAATTAACACGGTTATGTGTAATTGGGCGCTTAATTGCACGACCGGTACAATCGACCTCGCCATCGCCGCCACGGCCAAATAACACGCAAATGTAGTAAACTGAACGTGCATACACAAACATGATCTTACTCGTTCTAGAGAAGTTTCGAGAGAAGACTAAACGACGATATGATCGATGTGGAAGTGAGAGGCCTAGCTGACTGTAATCTAGGTTTCGATGTTCCATTGTTTCCAAAGGTCAATGATTGCTGCTGTCAGCAGTCGCGTCCCGAGTACATTGTGTAATACAAAAAATAATTGCAGAAAGAAAAAACAACTTAAAGTATTACAAATAACAAAAATTAACGCAAGAAATTTCAATTGTAAGTAATTCAAGAAGTAAACGTAAAATTCGTAACCATATTTCCATAATTAGCAGCACTCGAGGGATGCTGTTATTATTCTTGGCCGTCGTCGCGGCAGACAAGGAACTGATACAATCGGTCCATTGTCTGCGAACAAACGACGGCGACGCAAACAAACAAAAACGGTTGGTGACTATAACGTTATTGTTATCCCTATTAGTGTGTCGCGAATCCGTTAACCCTTGCCACGGGGTTTTGATGCACAGCACAAATGAGACGGTACAGTGTCCTTCAAATGTGTCGCCTCCTGACGGCGGTACCTTTAGGATTCCTGTACAGCGGCGATAGGCGACAGGCGACAGGCAACAGGCGACAGCACAACTCATAGAATGGTGTGCGCA